TGGGGCGGTCGAGGAGGGACTCTGCGGCAGCTGGGTTTTGTCGCCTGCCGGCTCGGGCGTCCTTATCTCGCATTATTTTCAGGCTTCACCCTTTCGCCCAGCGGTTTCCAGCACCACGACAGTCGCTCGCAGGTGGGAAGTGAGGCTGAGCCGCTAATTGGCTGCATGTATGTGTTTCTGCTGAGGTTCAGCACCTGGGCCGTCAAATTTGCAACGGCACAGAAAGACATCATAGCAGGGTCTTGGCCATCAAAAACAATGGCCAAGCCAGAAGCTGTCTGCCTCAGAAGAAGGCAGATGTAGAAGAAGACGCCAGCATTACCACCCCTGGGGTGGTAGATACGGGCACGGTAGGCGATTAGGAACGGGATTAAGTAACACATTGGCTCCCGAGCAACAGGAGCTGTTTTACTTATCCAGGAACATCTCAGTTTCTTGCAGAAGCTTCCAATGCAGTGCCAGAGCCAAAAAGGGAAAAGGAACTTAAATATGACTCTTTGGCACTGAAGGTTCAATCTCTTAGGAGCCAGGAATGGGACTGAGAGCTGAGTACTCATCCTTTGTGCACTTGCTAAGGAAAGGCAGCACGGAGAGCTGCTTTAAGCACCCAGCCTTTTAGCTTCTTGGCAAGGTTTGAGTTTTTTTGCATCATGTTAGCAGTTCCCATTCCTCAATGCTGAGGGTTATCTCCATGCTGCCTAGCAGAGCCCACTGATACAAACTGCCTTCTGCAAGCAAGCTCCTGGTTTGTATCTGAGTAGGAGGAAGAAATAAGGGAGCTTGCTTTTCCTTTGGACCTGCAAAAAATTATTTCCATATGTTCCCCAAGCTTTTCTGTGGTAACAGGTACATATAGGGTAAGCATTTCCTTTGTACATGGAAATTATTAGGCTGGAGGTCTCACATGCAGTCAGGGTCACAGACAGTCCTAACCCTTAGTTTCAGAAGATGAGGAATACAAGTTTTTAAGTCCTTTCCTTAATCCTGTCTTAAATTTTCATTGAGTGCTTTTTGGTGAAAGAAGAAGGGTGTAGCACTTCAGCCCTGGATGTGAAATTTAGATACTTGTTTTCAAAGAATCACTTCTGAGTATGCATCAAGTGGTTCATGGTGTTCGAGCAGAGCAATACTTCTGCAAACTCAAGAAGTATGGTATTTGGCAGAAGGCGGTAGATCTGAATATGGCCTCAGAGCATTTCTACTAGCATATTTTATACTTCCAAAAACACAGTGTACTATTCTTTTGGTCCATATATTTTAATTCATATGAGACTGCACACTGAAATTTCCTCTGGAAAATTATATCGAGTGCTTTCCTAGGATAATTGGTTAACCTTTCTCAAACTGTTACAGCTTTACATTACTGAATTTGGATGCAGGAGAGTAAAGTTATGCTATTCTAAGGTCCAAGGATGAAAAGGAGAATGAAATTGAATCATCGAATCATAGTATGATTTAGGTTGTGAGGGACTTTTGAAGGTCATCTAGTCCAACCCTTCTGCAGTGAGCAGGGACATCTTCAACTAGATCAGGTTGCTCAAAGCCCCATCAAACCTGATCTTGGATGTTTCCACAGACGGGACTTCTGCTACCTCTCTCATATACTAAATGATTGCAATGAGCATTGCCAAAGACCAGTATAATATCTAGGAAGTATCAGAGAGAAATGAGAATAAAAATTGTCATGTCTGAATGAATTGAAAGGTACATAATGTGCCTTGTGTTGAACAATATATTTCTGAATCTCCTCCATGTCGTATTTCACTTTCATTTAGAAAGATGGTATTTAACAAAGCTTCCTTTCCTTTTAGAAGTAGTGACTGATGTTTGGCCAGTTAGGTTGTGCTCCTACTCTTTGCATAATCCAGATCAAACCAAAATCTCTTTGAAGCAGTTGAGTGACAGACTAGAAGCTGTATGACTATTGAAAAAGGAATCAGAACTGGGCCATATCTGCAGCCCCTCTGGATATTTCCAAAGTGGAGGCTAATTGGGCAGGTTTTTGGTAAACAGGGAACAGGTGTAACACTCAGAAGGAATAGAGTCATAGAATCATAGAATGTCTTGTGTTGGAAGGACCTCTAAAAGTAATTTAGTCCAACCTCCCTACAGTAAGCAGGGACATCTCACACTAGAACAGATTGCTCAGACCTTGTCAAACCTCACCTTGAATGTCTTCAGGGATGGGGCCCCCACCACCTCTCTAGGCAACCCATTCCAGTGATCCACCACCCTCATACTAAAGAAGCTTCTCCTAATGTTCAACCTAAATCTACCCTTCTCTAGCTTGAAACCATTACCCCTTGTCCTATCGTTACATGCCCTTGTGAACAGGATATTCACATTTTCACAGGTATTGTAATATCTGTGGAGAGAGGCAATAGGAAAAAATGGACAAATCCCAGGGGCAAAAAAACTAAAGCAGGGACATAACTAGCAAACTGCCAGACTAACAGAGATCTGAAGCAATTGTTCTGAGTTAAATTTCATTATATTAATCAGTCAGGTACTTTGAAATGAAAGGAACAGAGGAGATGTTAGTAAGAAGAGTAGTATTAAGGTCTGCAGCTCTACTGAAAACAAATTGAAGAATCGGTAGTTATTTCCTGAGAAACTGAGAACAGCAAGTTGTATCTAAGGTAAATTGTAATGTGCCATAAAATTCATAGTGTTCTTGGAATCAATCATTTTTGGTGTCTCATCAAATTATTAATTTTAATCTCATCTTTGTCTTTACAGCTTCTTTTGTAGGATTCTCTTGAGGATGAGGGCTGAATGATAGGAGAGAGAATGGCTATTTTGGGAAACATTATCTTGTTATCAACCGTATTTTTCTTTCACACACTGCTTGTCAGTGTGAGTTCACTACAGCACAGGGGACATAGGGTACATATGAGGAAGTAGCTTGCATTCTGGGATATAAATGCTGAAGATCCATTGGTTTTCATGGTTCTATTGTAGAAGATACTTCTTGTGAGGGCTATGGAGATAAATTGCAATTTCTGCATCACTCTAATATAGTCAGACATATTGGTCCTTGAGAAATTTTCTTCAGGTGATAAGTTTGTTAAGGTTGGTGGCTGCTTGAAGGCCAAGCTGGAAGATAGTGTGAAAAAGTATTTTAAGACACAATCTTCTACCAATTTATATTTTCTGATTTGCCACCTAGATTCCACTGAAGTATACCAAATATGACATCAAGAGACAGCTGCTGTAGTGAGTCTGTGTATCCTATTTGGGTTGCTAGTTCTATTTACCTTGGGAAAAGCCTTGCTGATTGTACTGGTGAGGTAGTCATTGTTAATCCTTTCCTCGTGCAAATGTTTATATGCAAATGTCATGGTTCCTTGTTGCTGTGCAGCAGTCAGATATAGGCACGTCCCAACATTTCTCCAAAATCAAGAGACTTTGATTCGTATTTTTACTCATTTCCTTGTAGTTTAAAGACAAATGGCAGAAGTAATCCCAAGGGTCACAATTTGTAGCCCAATGGGATGGTTTTCTTGCTAATCTTCTATTAATATAGCAAATAAATTCTTAGGTCCATTTTTTGATGTCTCTAGTTCCCTACCTCAGCTTATTTCTTGAAAGTCTTGGTGCAGATTTCCAAACCTGCAGATCAGCCTTGGCACCTGCACTCATTTAGGAACCCTAATAATAGT